GGCGAAAGTATCTTCACTAGCCAACGAGCCCATTTATGCTGCGGCGCATTTACCATTGATAAAATCGGCCTAAGTGGTACTCCACTCTTGTGCGTCTTCGGTGACCCATATAGCTGCGGAGTAGTTCTGACACTTGGCTTCACACAATTATAGGTGTCTCTATCAATCGCGCGATGAAGGAGAAGCATTTTTAGATGAGCAGCTATACCAGCTTCAACGTTGGCTACATTCATCTTATTAAGTCGTACAAATTAGCTCATGTCGTTGAGTATGCCACCCATTTTTTGAGCGTACTCGGCCTTGTTCATGACCACCACTCCAGAGCCCTTATCCGGTTTCATCACAACTACTCTCTTAGTACGCAGTTCACGTAGCGTCTGAAGGTGTCGGCTTGTAAGTGCGTTTTTCAGTCACCGGACAATGTCGGCCAATTTGTTTCTAAACCAAAATACTCAGGACTGGATAATTGAATCTCCTTAAATTAACCAAAAACGTTCTCAAACTGGGCTTCTTTACACAACTCGTTCAGTCTTTTAGGAGGAATTTTGTAATCAAGCCCATATGACAGTGCTCCTAACTGCAACGCGTCAAGTTGTACGTCTGATAAATTCACCACGTACTTACTAGGATCACGAACAATTGGCTCCTCATCCTGGCCGTTCGTAAGCAAGTTCTCCAACCGGGTATTCCGATTTCGCCTTGTACGATCGAGAGTGGATTTACAAAAGTTAGGGAACACAACACTACAACACAACGATAGATCCTCTACCACACCCATAGTTAAGCATATAGTTGCATGCCGGTTATTGTTAATGGTACTGAGGAGACAATACGAAATGTATGCATCTACTAGCCTTCGTCTTTTTCCCGTGCTTTTCAAATTTCTGAAGAGAGCTCACTGCTTTAAATTTCTTTTTTTTGCTTTGAGTCATGCCAATTGTATCCACTGTACTTGGATGCCCGGATCGTCAATGTTTGTCTAGACTAACCTCCTCCTCATCCCCGGATGTCATCTGTGTTGCCTGCTCCGCGTATCAACCCACTTGCTTAGGTACTTCTCTTGTCATGCTTTGTGTTTTTTCCATAGCTACGTTTCTGTGTTACGATCTTGTGAGCTTTGTATGCCACTTACAGTGTAGTACTGCGCATCACCCGTCGTACTGCACATACAGGTCTGATTCATGTTCGGCACTGTATACCGTATTGTTGTTATCCGTTTCGCTTTCTGAGCTTCAATTCACGTGGATCACCTTATGCCTGTCCTGATATGCTATAGGGCGTGGTTTACTGTCGACTTCTAACTGGACTGCTTGTCTAAAAGCTGCTGTGTTATTTGTGGGATAAGGTTGATTATATCGCGGAGCAGTGAACACTGCAAGGAAAGTGTCTCGACTGCGCCACCTGTACTTCGCACGACAGACAAGTACCTGTGACCGAGCGTAGGCTGTCTTGGCTTAGAATGCTTACTTCGGACACTTAGGTTTTACACTTCGCCCACTACTCCTCCTCTTACCACTCTCCGTCATTAAGCTCATCATGGTTGTACGACAACGACGCATCAGTAAAAAGTGCCTAAACGTCACTGCTGCTGCTGTTGCCAGTGAGTATGTGCACATATGAAGCGTTCATTGTTCAACCGTTGTTGGGTCAGTGTGTTAGTTTATTCTTTTCCATTTTCGCACTTTCAAGTAGAGCACATTTTCGCATGATAAGCGCAGTTCATTGTGAAGTACCGAATTTGATCTTTTTAATGCTATATATTTGTTTGTACCCAGGACGTTCGGCTGTTGTGTTTACTCTTATCACCTGGTTGCAAGCAGATGTTTCCTGTTGCTGTTTGCCGTTGGTAACACAACAGTCTTATATTTATAGTTCAAATCAGTGTTTGTCACTGTTTCTGCGTTGGGCATTATTTTCTCTGTTCTCCACTGGTGGAATTACTTACATGTGAACACCTTTCTGCGCCCCGTCAGAAATGACGCTTGCTTTGATTCCAACGGTGACCTCCTCGACACATATATGCACGTTACAGCTATGTTGTTTTCAAATCAGTGTGCATTAATGTAAGATATGGGATGAATTAGCTTGGTCCGTTTCTTTATTGATTTGCCTATCGCTGAAGTTAAGAATCACTACACGACTTCCCTATTGTTTCTACTGGAACCACCACCACCACCTACCTACTTCATGGACAGTGTACTTAAGCAGATGACAACACCGATTATTTCAGCGTGAGCTCCATCTGCACATATCGCCCCCTGATAAGAGATTCATATAGCAGGGTCACCGCAACGCTCATACATGGTAAATGTAGTGAGTGTCATGAGAGTGGAGTCTCATTTGTGGTCATCTGACTTGTTCGTATGAACTCGAGACGAGGCCATGGTGCCTCCCATACTGAAACCACCTTAGTACGATAATGCGAACCATATATCTTGCTACTATAAACAAAGATTGAGAATTTGTCGGAGACATTGTCAGTACCTTTGTTTCGGACGGTGGTAGGTGCCCATGCCCCTAATCAGATCTAACTCTCGTGGTGTAATCGCCACATCGAGGTATGTTAGGTTCCTGCGGTGGCCTCTGTACCATGCTCACTACATCCCTGTCTTTGATAGCAAGCTGTCAGACTACACTCCTCTGATGACCACACACTTCGTCCAGTGCAAAACTGCTGGTAAAACAGCTTGTGTACAGATTATCCTTCAGTGTAACGTGTGTAGTAGTAGTAGTAGTAGTACTAGTAGTAGTAGTAGTAGTAGTAGTAGTAGTAGTAGTAGTAGTAGTAGTAGTAGTAGTAGTAGTAGTAGTAGTAGTAGTAGTAGTAGTAGTAGTAGTAGTAGTAGTAGTAGTAGTAGTAGTAGTAGTAGTAGTAGTAGTAGTAGTAGTAGTAGTAGTAGTAGTAGTAGTAGTAGTAGTAGTAGTAGTAGTAGTAGTAGTAGTAGTAGTAGTAGTAGTAGTAGTAGTAGTAGTAGTAGTAGTAGTAGTAGTAGTAGTAGTAGTAGTAGTAGTAGTAGTAGTAGTAGTAGTAGTAGTAGTAGTAGTAGTAGTAGTAGTAGTAGTAGTAGTAGTAGTAGTAGTAGTAGTAGTAGTAGTAGTAGTAGTAGTAGTAGTAGTAGTAGTAGTAGTAGTAGTAGTAGTAGTAGTAGTAGTAGTAGTAGTAGTAGTAGTAGTAGTAGTAGTAGTAGTAGTAGTAGTAGTAGTAGTAGTAGTAGTAGTAGTAGTAGTAGTAGTAGTAGTAGTAGTAGTAGTAGTAGTAGTAGTAGTAGTAGTAGTAGTAGTAGTAGTAGTAGTAGTAGTAGTAGTAGTAGTAGTAGTAGTAGTAGTAGTAGTAGTAGTAGTAGTAGTAGTAGTAGTAGTAGTAGTAGTAGTAGTAGTAGTAGTAGTAGTAGTAGTAGTAGTAGTAGTAGTAGTAGTAGTAGTAGTAGTAGTAGTAGTAGTAGTAGTAGTAGTAGTAGTAGTAGTAGTAGTAGTAGTAGTAGTAGTAGTAGTAGTAGTAGTAGTAGTAGTAGTAGTAGTAGTAGTAGTAGTAGTAGTAGTAGTAGTAGTAGTAGTAGTAGTAGTAGTAGTAGTAGTAGTAGTAGTAGTAGTAGTAGTAGTAGTAGTAGTAGTAGTAGTAGTAGTAGTAGTAGTAGTAGTAGTAGTAGTAGTAGTAGTAGTAGTAGTAGTAGTAGTAGTAGTAGTAGTAGTAGTAGTAGTAGTAGTAGTAGTAGTAGTAGTAGTAGTAGTAGTAGTAGTAGTAGTAGTAGTAGTAGTAGTAGTAGTAGTAGTAGTAGTAGTAGTAGTAGTAGTAGTAGTAGTAGTAGTAGTAGTAGTAGTAGTAGTAGTAGTAGTAGTAGTAGTAGTAGTAGTAGTAGTAGTAGTAGTAGTAGTAGTAGTAGTAGTAGTAGTAGTAGTAGTAGTAGTAGTAGTAGTAGTAGTAGTAGTAGTAGTAGTAGTAGTAGTAGTAGTAGTAGTAGTAGTAGTAGTAGTAGTAGTAGTAGTAGTAGTAGTAGTAGTAGTAGTAGTAGTAGTAGTAGTAGTAGTAGTAGTAGTAGTAGTAGTAGTAGTAGTAGTAGTAGTAGTAGTAGTAGTAGTAGTAGTAGTAGTAGTAGTAGTAGTAGTAGTAGTAGTAGTAGTAGTAGTAGTAGTAGTAGTAGTAGTAGTAGTAGTAGTAGTAGTAGTAGTAGTAGTAGTAGTAGTAGTAGTAGTAGTAGTAGTAGTTAAGCACGGCATCTATTTGCTTGGCAACCTCTTGGATCGCGAAGACTGCCCTTATTACTTTTACTCACTATCGCTTATTCTGACGGTTCTGTTGATCTTTTCCTTCACTACCCGTTCTATTATTCATTTCACTTATCTTGACTCTTCGTTAATGATTCGCGCGTTATATAAGTTAGCTTCATCCCGGTGACAGTCATTTGCTTATTAGCAGTTTACTGTTATTCTCTTCGATAACTGAAAAGTTAGCTACTCTATACATCATCTTATCTCTCTTCGAGTTTCAAAGCCCCAGGGCTGTCCTAGACTCTCGGTAACCGGAAATGAACAACCCGACTCTCAAAATGAATGGGTCATTCCGAAGCACGGATTGCGACACGCAATTTCTATCAGCTCTGTGATTCACGTCTAAGTGAATTTCAGCAAATTTGATCACCAGGAGGACCACGTCTGAAGCTGCGGGGAATGTTGGGTGTTTCCCGCTCATGACTCATTCTCCTTAGCCCTCACCTATTAAAATGTTCTATTTCGGTTGCTTAGATCTATCTGCATTCCCTCTGTCAGAGATCTTTCCTTTGCAGATGCTGATGTTTATCTGGTATAAGACATTTTTCAGCCGATTCGGTGAAATCACGCAAAGGCTGTTTCATTAGGGGTTTGCTCAAGTAACGTTTGACACACTCCATGCAAGTTGCCTCCGGTTCTATAGTTCACTTGATATTGTCTTCTAGTCTCATGCAACACTGGATGTTTTCGCTTTTTTTAACGCTAACTCATGTCGACTATAACATATAGGCTTTATGTTCCGCTTGACGGACGTACTCGTCTTTTACATTGCATGGGATCGTTCCATCATCCAAATACATGATTTGGGGCGCATTGTCTTAATTTCTTTTTTCCATTCCCACACCGTTGTTCTCATCAGCCCGAGTACCTCCTACTTCAATTTTTAGTGAGTTTTTTCAAACCGAAACTGCTCCCCTCCTCCCGTGAAATCAGCTTGGCTCCATCTATCATGTGCAACATTCTCTTTCACGCCGTTCGCTTTAACGATTCATTCTTGGTGCTTTTTCTTGTACTTCATTTTTGGCGTGCCCCCTCCGATCTTCTTTCACCCTCACGATGTTGTTTTCTTGCGTAAGCCGCTCCGCTGATTGTTACCATTCAAATCAAGTTTTCCTCCTTATGGGAGACTGGCATTTTTCATACCCACGCATCTGTCACCCTGATTGTATGGGATTTTCTTCAGCATTATCTACTTTGTATTCATTTGATTGCAACCCATCCAGCGTTTTCCCTTCCGTTTCATCACTTCAGCGTCCACGAACCCTTTTGCAGTGGGTCTACGTCCGATTGGCGGTGGGCCATCGGCCAATCCTTTCCTTGCTAATCAACCGGCAAAGTTATCCTTGAACCAACTCGCCCCGCCCCTTGCACCTTCTTCATCGAATCTATCGCCATCACACCCACCTCTTCGTGGTTTACAAACGATCCAATCCCCGTTCAATGTCGCTCCGGCTAATTATTTTGTGTCTATGCATGGAAACCCCTGGTCTGCGTCGAACCCCGTGCTGCCTCAAAATCAAGCCAGCATGAATCCATTTTACTAATCCCCATAGCACATTGTCATACCGGTCCCTTTCTACATCTCATCGTTACACATGCTCAAATTTCAGCCATCTACAGACTATCTACTTTCTCTTGATAGGCTTCCAACTCGCGGCATCGTTGGAAATATTGATCATGGTGAAACTATACAAGCACATCTCGGCTGTTCTTATAATTATGTTTCATCCAAGCAGTCCTCGACTTTCATGCTCTGAAGCACCTACTTCATCGCTTATGTTTCTTAAAAATGACACATGCCCAGGCCGAAGTTGTATAATCGTCATCGGGATTGCTTTGTCTTTAAGTTATCATTCTCTTTTTCGCCGTATTCTTCCTCCTCATCACCACATGTCTCCTACGGTTTTCTTCATTTTATTTTCAATCAGTCTCCATCTTTCGTCTGAGTTTATTTTTCTTTCCATCGTGGAATTTTTCTTGGCCCTGCTTGTCATGTGATTCTTTATGTGTTGCGCTCCCTTCGGCGTTCCTGATCTTCTGGCCATATCACCATCCGCGTTCGCATGCGCGCCCAATGTGCCGAGTTTGCTTTCTTATTTCAGTAATGTAGGAAACCTTTCTGGCAGTGTGCTTTGTTGTAGACGTATCCTCTATGACGCTGCTTTTTCTTTTACCGTGATGCTACCACCTCATTCACACATCCCACATTGATCACTGATGGTTTTATAATATGTGCCCTTTAACTCTCTTCTGCTTACCTTGTTCGTATTTGAAGCGCTGTTAGCGACTTTTCCTTTCTTTATACCTCAAATGAGAAACTTCACCTCTCTTTTAACCGACGCTGATCTCTACTTACTTTGTGTGACCGGTTGAACGACGATTTATGTGATAACCATTTGCCCCGTTTTCATGGTTCGGAAGGATGCGTTGACTTGATCAGTGTTTTGAATCCACAACGCACATTGCTATCTACCATCAGAATTTTCACCGGTCCGTTATTCAATCGCTCTATCAACAGCTCTCTCCTGATCTTATGTTTTTGGATCTAATCTGCACTTTTGAAATCTGCCCAGAATCTTCAACAAACTGGTGCAAATTCTCGTGTAATAGGTTCGCCACTAGGGCTGCCTAAGGCACGCATCAGGATACAGCTGCACAAACATCATCATTCTCTTGATATCGTTACCTTTTAGAAGTCCTTCATAATGACTTGAAGTTATTTGGGACGGTGGCTTTAGTCATGTAAACTAGCTGAGCATTTTTTTTGCTTCATCTGAATCGGATAAGCTGGTATCCTTCACTACAATCCTTTTTCTGCCTAGTGTCTAACTTTCTAAGGCAGACCGTGTTTGCATCCGGTAGTGTGTTGCACATACGCACTTCTTTGGGAAGTTAGCACTAAATCCTCACATCTGTCTCTAAAGCAAAGCTCTTCATACCGCCTCTGGTGTCTAGGCTGCCGCACAAACCTAGCTTGCTTTCCGGTCTACAATACCATCATTACTGTGGCTTCATCGATCGACACTTTAGTTTTGTTAAACGCCGCTAGAATCCTGATTGTGATCTTCATAATGGAACAATGGTATATGACGGGTAAAAAAGCGTACACTTAACGAGTCCCGCAGGTTGGCAATAGAAATACTAACAGATTGTCAAACCACATAAGTGGTTGAAGTAAGGAGCGTCAGTGAGATAAAAGGTAGAAGTATAACAGTTTTAGGGGGATAAAGTGGTACGACGCAAAACTGGCTAAGAAATTGTTATCGTTGGTGATGGTAGCAAATAAAAACGGAGTACTCACCGGTTCGCACAGATTTACGACCGTGAATTTGGGGTATAAATCCAAAGAGGCTGGTCAGCCTAAATATATACAGGCGTTTTCCTTCATAAAACAAAGCGCAGGGGGCTCAGTGCGACGTCCAATCGTTTTTTAAACGTATCTAATGTGGGGGCACAAACAACTGAGTTTGGAAGAGCGTTCCAGGGCCCGCAGACCCGGAGGGAGAAATAGGTTCTCCGACAGTCTAGACGACTGTACTGATGGCTCAGCTTTAAACTGTTACCGCGAAGGTTAGTGTTTGGGCTGAGCTTCAAGAGGTGGCGGCATACGTGACTGGGATCGCTCAATATCTGGTGCACTAGTATGAGGTCTCCACGAAGTCGCCGGTACCGTCCGCTGAACACACCGAGTATCTCCAGTCGTTCCTGGTAAGGAGTGTGGCGCAAGCCCTTGACGATTTTCGTTGCTCGACGCTGTGGGGTCTCAAGCGCTGCAAGGTCACGTTTTAGCCAGGGTTGCCAGGCCTGGATTGCATATTCGACGTGAGGACGCACGTAGGCATTCAGCATCAAAGAGAAGATGGATGGATCCAAAATTCCGAATGCTCTTCGCAGGAGTCCAACGTGCTGGTTGCCCCTTTTAGAAGCGGAATCTGACTGTTTGGAACACCCGAGGTCTTCCTGTACCAGCACACCCAAGTCGCGTTCCTGAGTGGTGGTCTTCAGATCGTGTGCCCCAAGCTTGTAGACGTGGACTTGTCGATGGCGGATATGAACAACGCGACATTTGTTCACATTAAACGGCAGGGCGTTTCTCACCGACCAATTCCAGGCCTCATTCAAGTCACGCTGTAGGACTTCATGGTCGTCCGATCGTTTTATCGCCCGCCAAACCTTGAGGTCGTCCGCGAAGAGTAAGAATTTCGACGTAAAAACTCTTACTAGATCGTTAATGAAAAGCAGGAACAAACGAGGCCCAAGTACCGAACCCTGCGGTACGCCGCATCCCACTCGAATCGGATCGGAAAAGCATGATCTAACTCTAACTTCTAACTGCCGTTCAGAGAGAAAGTTACCGATCCTCATGAGGCTAATAGGTATTCGTGCACCGCGAACTGTCTGGAGAACGTTGTGCATTTTGCGCTATCTGAGCGCGAAGTGATGCCTAGGATATACCCACATCAAGCTCATGGCTTTTCATTTGTGCGCCACCGCTCGTCCTTATGTCTCATACCCCGGTCGGTATTAAGCGCTAACTGGGTTGTGGCGGCATTGTCTACCCGAAGTGAGAGTTTTACTTTGACGGTTTTTCCCACGCTACCCGAATGCGAGTGTTTGTTTGATATGGGAATGTTTTGATAGTGCATAGCAGCACAATCAACAACACTACAAGTGTTTTACGCCCCGTTGTTCACACTTTGGCATTTGCCTTCAATTTTATTCACTAGTTCGTCTTCACACTTGCACGGCTTCCTTCTTGGTCTGGTATATGACTAGATTTGCTCTAATCGCCTTTTCCTCTCAACTTTGTATTAGCCCGTAAAAGGAGTCAAAGCCGCCTTTTTCATGCGATGCTATCCTGTTTAGATTGAAACCTAGGGAATGGGCTGTTGAAGTATTTTAGCTTTATTATGTGGACCATGCGCTCTAAGCTTGCCTATCTTTATCAGGTCTCCGAGATCCTTGTTGCTTCTGATTTCAGCCATTATTGTTGAGATCACTTAACCTGTTCCTGTGCGTATATTCAAGAGGTGTTTAGCTTCTTTTTGACGACGAATGGGCTTCCAACTAATCTCTACTTCTCTGGCCAGTGTCTAACTCTAACCCGGACTGATACTACCTCACCAATCTGTTAATGAAACTCAAAAACACTGATTGGCGCATTTCATCAATCGGTCAGGAGAGACCCATTTGGTTATAGAGTCTCCACTCCTAGTGGAGCTCACCTAGCAAGCATTTCTTCTGTCCACTCTGCGGGAGTCGTATGTACACATATCGAACAAACAATCCGCAGGTGTTCATGGATAGAATTTGGAGCTTTGTCTATTGAGGCTATTCGCTATGCACTCTAATCCTGTATGTGATGGCCAGCTGCACTGGTGTTAACGGCGGATCGGAGTCAGGCTCTTCATAGACGAGATCTAAATCACCTTATGATTCGGAACCTCCCAGGTCACCTCATCTAGGTCTATCCGTTGATTAAGATGAGGAGAGGGCCGCTACTGATCAGTACGTGCCTCCAATTTACTGCGAATGTCTTGTTTGTTGATGTCATTTAGTGTGACTGTCGTAAGAATGGATGCGCTACTTAACTGTTAAATGCTCCGTCAAACTGCTGCAAAAAGTTAACCCGAATGTTTGTTATGTTACCTAGCTTCCATTTTTGGAACCCGTAGTCCTCCTCCTTACTGGACATCATCTGACCAACTAGGATGTTGTCTAGACGAATTCTTCATAGTCTCCTGCGGGTTAGACCTAGAGTAGCTATGGCAGTCGTACATGGGTGTAACGTAACAGACGCCATTTGAATCGACTTGCGTCTTGTGGTTAGGTTTCTGAGAATGATCTATTTATTGAACCTGGCTATGGACAAATGTGATAAAAACGCAACTGGTGGTTATGAATAGCGCTTGCGTGGGTGTTTCTCTTTACGCGTCTGTGGCATTCACATCTACGGTTTACGTTAATTGGTTGGCCGTCGGGAGAACATACAAAAGAGGATGCTTAGTATTCCATACAGACCAATCTTGTTGGTTGGCGGCATCCCCTGTCACTCCGGTCTTCATTAGTCAGCCACAGGCCGCCTGCGCCTACGCAGGGACCATGGATGGCTTGCGCTGTACCACCCACAGCTTCACCCACACACCCTATATCCTGTTTACATCTGAAGGAATAAGACCGGGAGGCATGTGGATGGGAGCCACGTTTCATCCATGGAGCCGGCCCACTCTCCTCCAACAAACCGGGAAGAAGCACTCATGCCTACTTGGGAAATTATGCGTACCAGACGTACACAAAGCGGTGGCTGTGCCATAACTCCTTCCA